CCCAAAACTACTCATAACATAGGTTAAAAAAAACCCAAATATTGGGACCAGCAGTTAGTGTAAGGGCTATGTCACTGGACTCCCACGTAGTCGACCGCAGTTCACATCCTGGACCCGGTGGCTTAAAACTCACACTGGGCACGTGTGCGTGCGTGCCCAAGATCCCAAGAGGAGAATGGAGGAGAAGGGATTGCAGCGTGGCCATCCACCCTGGGGAGGGGGGTGTGATTTCTCGCTTTCTGTCTCTCTGTCTCTCTCTGTTTGTCTGGAGAGCACATGCGCCCTATAGCAAAAACCTCTCAAAAAGAAAAAAAAAGTGAAATATTACAAAAAGAAGCTGGGAGGAGGATGCCAACAGTAACCATGCCAGTGACAGCATTTCCTACCATCGGCAGACACAGGGATGGATCAGCTAGAGGAAGAGAGAACCTGGGGCCGAGGTCACTTGGCCAGGGAGAGGGAAAGGAGGGATCCAAAACACTGACCAAAAGACTCCTGATCTCCTCCCCTGTAGGGCAGTAGGTCCTAGGCCTGCTTGGGAAGAGGACAAGGCAGTGCAACAGCTCAGTCCTGGCACCCAATGACCCAACCCAGGAGACTGGAGAAGGAAGCAGTGTCCATGGTCCCAGTGTGAGAAAGTCCATCTGTCTCTAGGAAAAAGAGGAAAGGCAGAACCTAGGCCAAGGCTTTGGGGTGGGGGTGAAGGTCTTACCTAGAGAGGCCGTCAGTGCAATGTTCTCCAGCATCACGTCACAGTATAGGAGTTTCTGAGCTGGATCCAGGAGAAGCCATTCCTCCCAGGAGAAGTACACGGCCACATCCACAAAGGTGATACTGTCCTGCCATGATGAGTACAGATGAAACCACACACAGCCTCTCCAGGGACCCTCCAACCCATCTCTCTATAATCCCCCATGCTCACACTCCCCCCGACCTCCACGACTCATGGGAGATATCAGAACCTGGTGCCACTTGCACCTGCACTCGCCTACTGCCCCATTAGCCACTGTGTCTGGTCATCAGCAAACAAGCAGTAAGCAGATCATGCCCTTTGAGTTCTGGGTCTGCCATGCAAGGTCCCACCCCTCTACCCCCTGCAGGAAGTAACTGGGCAGTGCCACAGATGGTACTTCCCCAACACAACCAAATTTGAACTCAGTCTTCTTCCTTAAGTCTCTGCCAGGGCCCTGGGGACATTGGTTCACACTCCTGCCCATGGGCAGGTCATTTTTAAGCTGTCCCTCCCTCATATCTCCAGATCCCATAGCCACTGCTGTCTCCCAGCCTCATACTATAGATCTCTTCCTGGCCTCCCCAGGTGCTAGTTACCACATGGCATCAAGAATGTGGTTGGAGAATTCAAATAGGATATAAAACTACCCTGGACCTCCCATGGCTCCTACTGCCAAGGACAGCCTTTCACCCTGCTACGAAAGCCTCACTTCCTGCCTCTGTTCCTTGTGGCAATCTCTGCCACCCAGAATGACATGTGGACTTCAGTTCCCATTCCTGCCTATCTGCCTGCCTAGTGATCTACCAGAGGACCGCCCTTGCCCCTGAGCTAATCCACCAGCCTAAGTGACACACTCCAGGGTACTGGAAGATCCTGGTGAGTCCATAGAACTGTGAATAAAAACCAGCCTTGGCCTGGTGTCATCTCTTGATTACTCCTATGCCTCTGTGTCTTCTTTTCCCTTTGAAGCCATGGCCATCCGCCACACCTTTCCCCACGCCAGCCCTTCATGGTCACGTTTCTTCCTCAGTTGTGCTTGTGATGCCCCAAACAGGTGGCCAAGCAGAGTTCAGTCCCCTTCTTGGTCAGCTCAGAGCATTAGCACCATGACCTGAAGAGTCCGTTTTACTGTGATGACCACTCCACCTCAGTTCACAAACACCTTTCGTGTGTCTCTATCTTGAGCTGCTCCCCAGAATTTCAGACCTCTGTGTTCAGCTGCTTGCTTGATGAGTTCTCTGAAACACTCTAAACGTGGGTAAAACAAAACTTCCACATGCCCACTGAAAATTATTTCTACTACTAACTTCTCCTTCCTTCCTTCCTCCTTTCCCTCCTTCTTTTCGTGGGCCTGGGCACTCTTGAGAAATCCCAAGTTTCTAATTCATTCTTCCTTCCCTCCTTCCCAAATCTTGGGAGTAGTCTCTGATTCCCACATTTTTTCTCTCTCACCCCCAACATTAGAAAATCTGGCAGTCAGCCCTACTTAAAAAATAGGTCCAGAATCCAGTCACTTTCCCCAATTCTAGATAGATCGACACTCCTCTGGACTATTGCAGTAGCCTCATTCCCAGTCTGTTCTGCAGGTAACACATAGAGAGAGTCCATACAGATCTGGGTCCCATCACCCCATTGTTCCCATGTCATTGCTCTCATAATCTAGAAAAACTCTCCGTTTCTCAGCCTGCCATTCCAGATCTGATTCCCACTCTCCCGCTCATCTGAGACACTCTGAACACTCCCAGCTCAGTCTCATATTCAACATTTGGACATGGTGGCACCTACGTTTGGGATAACATTCCACACTTCATTCCATTGGGTGCTAGATGTAGAAACTACTGCAACTAAAATCCCAGAATTGAAGTGTCTCAAGAATCCCCAGGCCCAATGGCTAGGGCGGTTGTAGTCTGAGTCCAAAAGCACCACAATCCCAGAGACATGTGGATGGGGGTTTGGGACCAGTGAAGATCCACTGACCTGTGTAGGGTCCATAAGACTTCTGTGGACTTAGGAACCTGTGGGAAGAGGAAGGCCATGAGAAGCAGGCAGCCATGGATGAGTTCAGGCCTCCTTGTACCTGCTCAACCCTGGAACCAGGTAACCTTGGGCTGATTATAAAACTTCTATCTCAGTCCTCCAGTAATGCCTCTTACCTACTTTGTGACTTTAAAAAACATATTTTATTTAACTTTATTTATGTATTTTTAATTTGACGAGAGAGGGAGAGAGAGAGAGAAAGCCGTCAGGTTCAGTACTTTAACTGTGATTGGCCATGTAGGTCTCCAGTTTCCCTAACCACTATGGCACCTGACAGTCCCCTTTGTGACTTTTTTTTTTTCTTTTTTACGAGGAAACAGCAGATGGTACAGTGGTTTTGCCCCTGGACTCCCACATGGCTGATCATGGTTCAAGTCCTGGGCCCGGTGGCTTGAAACTCATGCTGGGCACATTAAGTGTGCATGCCCAAGATCCTGGGAGGAGAACAGAGGAGAAGAAATTATGGTGTGGCCCCCCCCCCCCCCGGTCCCTCTCACTGTGTCTCCCCCCACTCCACTATGCATGTTCCCTAAGGCAAAAACCGCTTAAGAAAAACACACACACACACACACACACACACACTAATTTATTTTTTCTATGAGCAAGAGAAGACAGCATCCCCAACAGGATTTTGATGCTGATATTCACCCCCAGCCTCAGCAGCCTGAGATCATGGGCATATATGTGCCTGTGTGTGTGTGTGTGTGTATGTGTGTGTGTATACATACACACATATACAGGAAGGTGAACCCTAGGCCTTCCCATGTCGGTCAGCCTGGCAGAACTTTCCATTTCCCCATGTCCTTGTAACTTTGGACTAAGACTGTGCCTCACTGTCCTCCTCTCTCTTCTTTCCTTTTCTCCAAGCAGTTTTTTGGAAACATTAAAACCCTTCACTCAGACCACATCCCTCCTCAGTTCAAAACCTCCCATGGCTCTGAGAGCCTTCAGAGGAAAGGTAAATTTCCTTGTCTGTCATTCTGGGAGCGACTTCTCTTCCACTCTGCTCCTTGCGTGTCCAAGGGCCCCAGGTTTCCCAAATGTTCAAATGCCACCTCCCCCAAATCTTTGCAGATGCTGATCCCTGTCTGGAACACTCTTCCACGCCTCGTGCAGTGACCTAAACAAGCTCCTTTAAACTGAAGCTTTAGGAGTCCAAAGTAGGGGGTTGGGTGGGTGAAAGCCAAGGAAAGTGGCACCGACTTGTGCCTGGTCAATGAATGAGGTCACTGTGACTTGAGCCTGTGAGCAGATGGTGTTGGGAACTACCACGACCAGCACGGGGCCCAGGGCACGGCCTCGTTTGGTTCCAACACATGGTGCAGCACCCGTCAGGACTCAGAGCCTCAGACTTAGCAGTAGGGACAACCCTTCCTTTCGAACCTTCCGCCTCCGGGTGTCTTGGATGTGTCCCAGTGCTCTGGGGCTTTTGGTCAGCCAAACCAACTCCAAGGCAGACAAAATGCCGCCGCCGGAAGTCCCGCCCCCACCAGAACCCGCCAGATTTCTGGACATTATCGTGAGCAATGGGTCGCCAAAAGTTTAGAGACCTTATTTCAGACTCCAGTAAGTTCGCCATGATCCCAGAGGCTGCAAATCCAAATGGAACCATCACTCCATAGTGTCACTGATACCAACGTGCCTCCACTTATCTGGGAACTACTAAACATTGACTTATTGCTCTTAAAATGGATGTAGCCTGAAGAATCAGTTTTATCAATTTCAGTATGTTTGGTCAGAGACAAGAGAGAACAAGCCCCCAGATAGGGCCATGACAGAGACAGAAGAGAGATGATGAGGCAGGTGAACAGGATAGGGTTCTGTCTCTGGTTCCACAGGAAACATACCTGCTGCAATAGTCAGTAACGGTGTCTAACCCAATGTGCGCCACCATTTTCATCTATATAGTATTTCTTTTTTGAAAAAAGTTTCTTTCTTTCCTAAGAAAGCAAGTCAGTGAACGAGTGAGCAACAGCATACCAAGAGGGTCTTGATGCTCAATCCACCCCCAGCTTTAGCTAAACCAGAAGCATGGGCACTTGTACACCTGGCCCATCTGAGGAGGGCTCCATGTTAACATGATCCTGGAACCTTACATAGTGGGTCAGCTTTGCAGAGCTTTGTATTTCCCTGTGGGCCACCACCCAGCCCCTATATAGTATTTCTTACTCTAGATCCCGAATTGCGTTCAATTCCTTTTGGAAACGTGCTACCTATGTCCAACTGAGAATAATTCTTAAATGCCGTCTAGGGGTAGGACAGTGTTTACATTTGGAGCATGTGTGCAAAGGAGGCATATGAACCCTGAAATAAACATTCTATGTTAAGATGTATCTTTTTTGTACATTTAAAAAATATTAAATGGAATGTCTCTGATAATTATACCTTTTGGAGTAAAACAATATTTGCAGTATGACTAATCTTAGAATTGTATCTCCACAGTGTATGCATTGTTTTAGGTGTGTTTAGATATATTCCTATGCAAGGTATTTTCCTTAGTAAAAATAAATTTATACTTTGTACACACATCTGCAGTTTGCCTTTCTCATTTAACAATGTATCTTGGTCAGTCTAAAGCTACCTCTTCATTTTACATCCAGTACTTTTATTTTTTTTTAAACGAATAATTGTTTTATTTTAACATTACCTGTTCTTCTTAGCTGACAGTCATTGAATAGTATATGGTATCAATTATAATTCCTATCACTGTCTGTATAACATGTTTCTTCATGTTCTATTTTCATCAACTGTTAATTTTCAAACTCTTTAAGCAGCATGAAAAATCAAAACCCAACAATCAATACACTTCGTATATATAACAACTGATCTCAAATTTACCCACTTTAAGACATGAATTCAATATTTTCATATTTCAAGGTCTGCCTTTTTTTTCCATATTAAACAATAGGATACTAGAATTTAACACAAAAACCAGGTGTCATTTAATACTGTTCACTATTTAAAAACTCTTTCATTGACAAGACAGATCATCTTAAGTGTGATAGGCTTCCTGCTCAGCATCATGTTGTTGGAGACTGTTCCTCTTTGGAGGGTCCTCTTCTCCATCCCGCTTCCTGTGTTTGGTATCCCAATGCTAGCAGCTCAGGTAGATCCATGGATTCATTCCTTTTCGATCTGAACTGGCAAACGCTCTGGAGGTAGAACAGATTCCAATTTCTGCCACCGTTCTGGAGGCCACAGAATGTGTGTAGCATGGGCATGCAGAAGTCCCAGGGACACTGGACCAAAAGAATTGCTGTCAAAACTGTGTCCATAATGATCACCTTCAACCCAGATGTGACCGTGGGGGACTCTGACATAACGGTTTTTGTGTCCCCTTGTTCTTACAATATCTCCTTCAAGAGCGATCACTCTCTTAATGATCTTCTGCTCAGGGTTTTTTGGAGACACCAATGACACAATGTCACCACGTTGTACTTCAAAGTTCCTCACTTTCCAGTGGTTCAAGAGTACTATATCAGATGACTGGCTCCCCCCAGGATTCAAAGAAGGCTGCATTGATGCTCCTTCTACTCTTGCCACGCAGGCGACCCGATCCAAAAAAGTCACTGCCACCGGCACTGCCACAAAGAAGCCTTTCCAAAAGGCCTTTAAGTATTTTTTCACCCAGCCTTGTGACTGTGCCATAGCCTTTCTCCTCCGTGAGAAGGGGTAAGTGGTTACGTTGTGCCCTCACCCCAATATGGCCCGAACTCCTCAGTGCTGCTCAGTCTACCCAATCAATACCACTTTATCCACACCTTATACTGCTGAAACTGCCTCCTCTGTTTCAAGTCGGCCTTGCTTTGTGGTTTGCATGCACCACAGCTGATCAGGTGCAGTAGGATCAGTCCTACTAGAGCCTAAAGATCAAGCGCATTCTTTTACTGCAGTCCTCCAAATTCTGCCAAGGGCTCTGGGGTCATGAGGTAAGGGTCTGGCTACTCTCGGACGCCCGCGGGCTGGGAACGCGATCTGAGGGTTTTTCAGAGGTCGATGGGTGCGCCTTCCCGGGCCTCAGGGCTCAGACCCGTCCCAGTCCTCGCCGGCTGGTGCTGCGTTAAACGGTGGAGGTGCGCACGGTGGAGTCCAGGTGCCCGACCGCGAGGCGGCAACATCCATGCCTCGCTTTGCTGTGCCTGGCCGGGTTTCCCGAGATCGTACCCGCAGGTTTAAGCGAGATGGGTCAGGGGCGCTCCCGAGTCAGGGTTCGGCTCACGCGGGCGGCTGGCTGTCCCCAAGCAGGACCCTTCTGCAGGCGGGGACCTACCTGGGCGGCCGAGGGCGAGTGCGAGAGGCCATCCAGGAGCGGACCGAGCGCCTCGTCGGGATGGTCTTCGGGAATCC